ATAGTTAGGTATATCGTATTATTCGTAATTATGTATGCCTTATTTTATACCTTATTATAAATCGTATAAGACGCACTAATAGATTTTATACCATCGTGTCAAACCCTTGTAAATAGTTTTTAAATTCTGGAAAATAATAATAATAATAATAATAATGCATATTGAGTATTTTTAGCTTTTTTTCTTTTTCACGGCTTTTGTTAGCTTTTTGTCGACATTTTGTTGTTGTTGTTGTTGTTGGTGATCGAGCTTTTGTTACTTTAATTGTCCGTAATAACCATATCAATTATTATTATTAGTAATTTTATGGAAAAGTATATGTCAAATGAATTGTCGAAGGCGTCTTATTCGTTTTTATATTTTTATTTTACCACCACCACCACCCCCCCCCTAATTGTAACCCCCTCCCCACTGAAAATGTTTTAGAAACATTTTATTTTTACCTTTTTCTCTTAGTTAATTTGTCTCAATTGTCAATAGTCACGTAGTAAATGATTTCAAAATAATGGAATGAAAAATTTTAAAAATTTTGTTTTAAATCCTTGTAAAAAAAAAAAAAAAAAAACCTTTCGTGAACAAAATAATTTGCATGTATTTAAAATTTCGAGAGGATGTGTTTTTGTCAAACCGGAAATAATTTCAATTAAAATAATCAAATTCGAATTTTCCCTTTTTTATTGTGATTCAATCAGAAAATTTTTCAACGAATTTTTTTTTTTTGTTTATAACATCCTTTTGTTTATCATTATAATAATAATAATAATAATAATTTTTAATTTAATACGTTCAGCATCTTTAAAAGCTGTAATGTTTTTTTTTTTTTTTTTTTTTTACTACTACTGTGCTGCATATACTATTAATGTTATTTTTGTATGTTTTTTTTTTTTTTAAAGGTGTTTGGTTTTCAAACATAATTTTTTTTTTATATATAGCAAGAAGAGAAACAAAAAATGTTTTATATCTACTACAATATTTATTAATTATTATTATTCACGTATATAATTTTTTGTTGCACGATTTTTTTTTTTTTTTTTTTTTTTTGTTTACTAAGCCAATATATTGCACATTAGCTTTCGCCCATGATGTGAAATGGTTTTATTAATTAAAAAAAAAAAAAAAAGTGTGTGTAGGCTCATATATAACTTTATAATATTTATTACATGTACTTAAATATATATATGTATATACATATGTGTTTATGTATGTACATATACATATTTATTTATTTATTTGTTTGATTGATTGATTGATTGATTGATTGGTTACTGACATGTGGCGATAGCTTACTGTGAAAAAAAAAAAAGAAAAAAGAAAGAAAAAAAAAAAAAAGCAGGTTTATAATGCATGTTTTGTCTGTCTTGCATGCAGGGATTCGGTTTTGTTACGTTCGCAAATAGTGCTGATGCGGAGCGAGCACGAGAGCGTCTTCACGGCACCGTGGTTGAGGGGAGAAAAATAGAGGTGTGCATGATACTAGCATAAAACAAAAAAAAAAAAAAAAAAAAAAAAAAAATTTTTTTTTGCCAAGACAGAACAAAACAGAATAATAATATTCTTCTGTTTATAATGGTAGCACCTTTTTTTTTTTTTTTTTTTTTAATATACTGGGTAACGACGTTTCTTGTTGTCGATTTCTTCGTACCTAAAACGTACAAAAAAAAAAAAAAAAAAAAATTTGTTTACCATTATGTACCTTTATTTATTTTTATTTTAATAACTTCCACTTTTTATTTATTTATTTATTTTTGATTTCTACAAGCTTTTCAAAGACTAACTTTTGACTTTTTTTTTTTTTTTTTTATCAATAACTTGTATTTTATTATGCTTTAAAAGAAAAATAAGAAAAGTAGTTTTTCCATTATGTCGTATGAAAATTTTATTTATTTATTTATTTTAACGCTGTAGTTTTTTTTTTTTTTGTGCAAATTTTTTTAAATGTTTATTATTATTATTATTATTACATTGAATACACACATTTTTGAACGCTTTTGATTCGATTATATATATATATATATAATTAAATTAATGTTTTTTTTATTAATTCGGGTTCATTGTAGATGCTTTTAATTTAAATAATAATAATAATAATACTTATTATAAATTATTATTATTATTATTAATATTGTTATATGTTGGTCTTTTGAAAGGTTTTTCTCTCTCTCTCTCTCTCTTTAGTTAATTTTTACTTTCATTTTTTGCCTTTCTTTATGAAACTGCTTGTGAAACTATTTATTTATTTATTTATTTTTAGTGTTGTGCTAAATTTTGCAAATTTATTCCACACGTTTCATGTGTATAAAATAAAAAAGTAGCAGTAAAATGTGTAAATTATTTGTTTTAGTTAATAATTTATTTATTTATTTTAAAAATTTTTATTTTGCCGTAAAAATCACAGGTTTTTCTTGACTTGGGCGGGGGTGGGGGTGGGGTGGGGTAAATCAATCATAATTTTTTTTTTGGATGATATTTTATTTTTAAAAAAAAGTTATAGTAGTATTATTCGTTTGCACCGATTGTATTTATTAAAATAATTTCAATTAGCACATAATATATATTAACGAATAACTGGGGGGGGGGGATTCCCATATATTTTAATACGTAAATTAAAAATAATTTTTTGTTGATTTTATTACACAAAATGGCGTGCTTTTAGCTTTATGCATTTAAACGGGTATTAACATAACTTTTCAAGGGGATTAAAATGTAATTTAATTTTTTTAACATTCTACAGAGTTCTTTTATTATTATTATTATTGGAAAAACCTGTTTTTTATCGCAAAATAAATTAAAATCGAGTAGAATTTTTTTTTTTTTAATTATTATTAATATTAATTTAAAAAAAAAATATCAAAAATTGACTAAATCACATTAAATGGGCTCTCTCTCTCTCTATCTCTCTCTCTAACATTTTTTTTTCTATTCCGTACACACACATAAAAATAATTATTTATTTTTTACGTGATTATAGTCAAATTATAATTTTCTAATTTATTTTTTTAATTATAAGTAACTAAAAGAAAACACAAAAAAAAAAAACTGCTTCTTTATTTTTTTCAAAATTATCGCGAAAAACTTAAATTTTCTTTCCTTTGTTTTCATTTTTTTTTGTATCTTTTTTTATTATTATTATCATTTCCTCTTTTTTTTTAAAAAAATGTCTGTCTGTTATTGTTTGTTATTCTTACATATTATTAATAATAATAATTTCCTTATAATTTTAAGTTTAGTTTTAATTAAGTTAATAATAATATAATTTTAAGAATTAGTTTTATAAAAATGGAAAATGACCATTTATTATTATTATTATTATGAAATAATAAATTGTTGTTTTCCGTTGTAACATTAATAATAATAATAATAATAGTATGTTAAAATCATCATGTTTACATTTGATTTAAAAAAAAAAATTTTA